TTAACAAAACAGTAGCTAATGGAATGGTGAAGTTAAAATCACATTCGGGAGGTTTTCAAACCCATCAAAATCCACCACGTAATCCCGATAATGGATGCCTTTCTGCTTCGTGCAGCACAAGTAAATATTATCGTCTTAATATAATAAAAACAATTAGAAATATGCGCACAAGTATGGACAAGTTGACCCACCTAATCTGAGCACCTTGAATCCCTTATTTGTCCTCGGCGAAATATGTTAAAGAAAAATATTATTTCTTTCACTTTGCTCGTGCTCTTATTTTTCGGGATCTTATCTCTATCTTTTAAGAACGGAACTACGTAGTTTTATTATCGCGTTGTTGTAAAGTCAAGATTAATTCAGCGACCTACGAAAATATGATTTCTATGTAATGTTGAATAAAAGTCTGGAAATATGTGGAAATAGACATAAATGATGATATAATTATGAAAGTTAATTTTAATCAATTCTCAAAATGCATGAATTTCAATATATTTCTGTATATAATAAATAAAAAATTCGTTGGTTTCCTTAAAATTGTCTGATTAATGTTAGCGCATGCAATCCTAGCACGTTCTCTCGTATTTTCCAGTGTCGCGATCGGTACATTTTATCACAAATGCTACCGACGATAATTTTATCGCGTTAACTCTCACGCGGAGGAGAAACAAGGCAAAGACATAAGAAAAAATGCGTCTAATAGGGCCATAAAGGTAAAATCGCACGTTTCGTGCAAACGTGAATTACCTACTGACCTCAATACAGCACAATTTTCGCGCACGTTTCTAGTAAGCACAGGCAATATCAGTCAGGCACGGGTGTTTCTCCGTTAACTTTTAAATTACCAATTTTCAGCCATATAAAGGACATCACGTAATGAAATTGTTTTAAATTACAAAAACAAAAGTATTTCTTGAGCAATTATTAAAAAATACAAGATAATATTTGCTTACATAATGTTGTCAAAAAGAATTGTACATTTGGTAAAACTCGGTATTACACGGCCACGTCTATTCTCTCACTGAAAATTCTCAGATGCCCTTTAGAAAAAGTCCCACCCTCAGCGAACACTTTTATATTTAACAATTTAATTTTAGCTGTATATATACCCTTTACCTTTTTCTAAATCAATAAACTTAATTTTTTTCATATAAATTAAGACGGGAAACTTATAGTCAACCCAACTGGCTAATTCTTTAATCGATTTATTACACAACGTTTCGACCATATTCTTTTGGGTCCTTTTCGAGTGAAGTTTTTTCATATAAATCATATTTTTCTTGTTGAAATTCTAATTTAACATAATCCTATTCTTGAATCAAATAATAATAAAGACTGTCATAAGATTTATCATTCTTTATTCTTCAAGATTGAAGATTTAAGATTGTATATTAATATTAAGATTAAAGCTTCCCAAAATTAATTGCGCCATAAAAGAAAGGTACCAAATTTAGATATAAATAATTTAAATGTCCATAGCATTTAGAACAATATGGTTTACAGCAATTATCTTACTAAATAATATTCAAGTTTTGGATTTTTTATAAATCTTACTCCTGCATATTGCTTTAATTTTTAGTTTAAAACAGCTAAACATTAATTTTTTTCTATTTAATGCAAGCAGCAATTAAGTCCAATGTTATAAAAAATAAAATGCTGTAATAATATAATTATAAAACAGCATCATATCTATTGAAGTGTATCACTTTAGAAATGATATCTCACTTCAGAAGTTTTTAAGATCGATTTTCCAGAAGAGATTTTAGTTATACGAGTATTAAATTAAAGCATTTTGACGAGTGATTGTCAAATTTTGTTAAGATAATCGCTACTTCCTATTAACTATTATAATCAAGTTATAACTTATATTAGAACTTTTCACATAACAATAAATGAGTAATATTTCCCGATGACAGAATATTACTATCTCGTTTGTAGGTCACTTCGAAAGACAATGTAATATCTCGCAAATTCTGAACATTCCTTAACTAGACCGCGCGTTGGAATAGGAAGTTTATGAAAGATTTATTTTCAAGTTTATGGAAGTTTATTGGAAGGAAATTTCTTCAATATAGTAATCTCTTTCTCGATCTCACTCTCCTCCCCTTCGTCTCCATTAAAAAAAAAATTAATTTGAAGCAAGGGAGTAATATACTATCTCTACAAAGTCATTTGTATCAAGTAATTACAAACATTATGAAAATAATCGAGTTTAATTAATCAACAATATTCTGATATCATTTTTAACGGTAGTGAGAAAAAGAACAATTGCTCTGTAGTAAAATTGTTGCTGTTTCACTTTAACACAAACATATAATTTTATTAAAGAAAATTTTACTTTGAAATTAACAAAAATTAATAGTCATGTTTTTACATATTTTATCCGTATTATACATTTCTCGGCAACAATTTTCTAGAACTTTAAATGCGATTTTCTCAAACTGTATTTTGTGACCTAAATCCAGGCAAATCCTCAATTTAAATGCATTCAGAAATCTTCAAAATAATATCCGTGCAACGATTGTTCATAAAACAATGTGAAACGGCGTACAATTGTGAGAAATTAGAGAGTTGTATATATCGGAAGCGAGAATTATGATGCGACGGACAGAAATCAGATTAAGAATAAAGAGAGTTTATGTCGAAACTCTACGTTACGCTTTCAAATCAAGATTAAATGAACATAATTAAATAATATTTATTAAAACAAGCTAAAAAATAGCGAAGAAACGACTCGACAGATAAATGCATATAGCGAATATAATATGCATACGTCGGTAAAAATCTAATAAACTTAACGTATCTACTACGTTATGCAATAACCGTAGCATATTATCAATATTCAATTATTATAATTAATATGGTAATTAAATATAGAAAAATTAATTAAAGGTATAATAGAATAGATGTTACAATAATTAATATAAATAGATATATGACACTATATTTTAAATATAAATAAATTTATTAAATCTTAAATAATGTTTTAAAACCAATATTATATAGATAATATTTAAAAAACTCACTTAATGCCAATGAATCAATATACATTAACAACATTGAGAAATGGCCATCTTATTTTTTATTTTTCAACTCTGAATCTATAGCAGATCAGGAAAATGTTCAGATGATCGTATGCAAAATCATCAATAAATAAAATGCATCAAAAAGAAAGTATAATGAAATATTTTCTAATAGATTAAATTTTATTATCAAATCGTATTTTGTAAAACGAGGCTCTGATTATACACGAGTGTTAGGCTGGTCTTCTAATTATCCCACGAGTCGCTAATTACTGATAAAGCTGCGATAGAAATGCATTGTGCAAGTTACAGCATCGCACAGTATCGCCATGTTGTACAGTTAATTGCAGCAGACAAGCGATCTGCATTCTATCGAACGCTAGTGTGAGAAATTTCGGTACATTTATACCTGTCTGTAGTACAATAGCGTTTCAGAACTGACGGAAATTCGAATTACCAATCATATATGAATTAATATCACATTTAATAACACGTCCATTAATTATAAGTATTTTTACGCGTGTAAATTTTTACTGTGTCTTATAATTAAATCTACTTCTTGTCCTCGTCGTATTAGGTTCATCATTTTAAACTTTCGACATCACTTTCAGTGACGTCCAAAAATCTCGCAATATACAACTTCATTAAAAATTGAACAAAAATTATATTCTTTGAATCCACCATTTAGAATTTTTACTCTCCTTTTTGTATTCAACAACCTTTAAAACGAAATTTGATATGTTTATATTTTTTCGAAAAAGTAAGTAAACAGTGAACAAGTATTATCTTTATATTTAACTTTATATTTCAGTTTCTTCTTTTTATTTTAGCCATCTATTTCGTTTAAAATGTCACTGTGTAATTTTTTGCAAACAATTCATACTGCTAATTTGCACAGTAAGCTGACAATCTGATTATATGGTACAAGTTTCCAATTACCGATCCTATCGCGACGGCAATCGATCCTTACATTACGCTTAAACGGTGTGGTTATAACACACGTCTCCAGTATTATCGATACAATAAGTAAGTTTAATAATACTATCCTTCGCTACACCGATAAAACTAATTTGAAGTTATAATAATAACAAATTATTAAATTGTCTCTTAAGTATTAATCTTGAAAATACACTAAACTTTCATATTACATTCAAATTTCCTGAGCATTTTCCTACTTTTAAATAGCGAATCTTGAAGAAATTTTATTTGTAGTTAAATAATGTATTAATAAATTGATTTTGTATAATCACGTAATTTATTTATTTTGCACTCAATCTCTTTAGCTAAAAAAATATTTCGTTCTATTATATCTTATTACATTTTATCTTTATATGTAAAATATATTTCCGTGTATAACATTTCAATAAAATATTAATTTATAAATGCACATTCTATTTATATTTTATCTTTAACAATTTACTATATTTTATTATCTTTTTTCAAGAAAAGAGGAGCAACTTAATATGTTTTCATGTAAGAAGTACCGCGTATATCCAAAACACCAAGTAGTTTCTGCTCTAATAACTGGTATATTTTTGTTCCTATTAAATTTCAACCTTAATTCATTAATTCAATGAATATCAATTAGAGAATAAATTGAAGATATTTTAAATACAAGCTTAAATATTAAATACTATATGTATAGTTTACCATTTTACTATTTATTCCGTATAAATTATATAATGTACGTTTGCTCGCCTCAAAGAAGATTGAGTATGCACTAATTGATTCTTTGACATTATTCGTAAATAATCAATTAATTTTTTTAATTTAGCGTTACATCACTTGATACTTTCCAAACCCCTCTTCATTTCCCCTAAGAGATAAAATCGGTCTCCCTTTATCATTAAAAGAATGAGATTGTCGATAATCTCGCATGGTGGATTCAAATAATAAGTTCATAAATTCATAATTAATTAATAATTAATTATGCTCGATTAATTTCCCAATTTAAAAAGAGAAAAATATGTCACTCACTCTGTCTGGTTATCCTCAAAAGTCAGGCTGCCATCGGTATGCATGTATTGCTTGCCGGGTTTCGCAGTGCCCTCCACAGTACGATAAGGAATAATAACGCGACCCCGGGCCCCACTATAGCGTACCACCCGCAGAGGATGCTGACCCACACTCTCCACTAGCTCTACATCTCTCTCGGGAAACCCAAATATGCCGCTGTGATCGTCATCCAGGATCATTACCGTTGCCAAGCTCGGCGAGACGAGCATTGCTGGCTGCGACACGTTACTGAGCCTGAAAGTCAAAGGATGTCAACATTAATTCATAAAAAAATTATGCTCACCCGTCAACAGCAGATATCACTTGTATAAATTCCGCACAGTGGCGCAATAATATTTAAAAAAAAAATAACGCTGTAAATTATCATAACTGTTTTGTAAGGAGGGAAAAGGAGTAAATCGTCTTTAATGCACGTCGGACACCAACCTCGTCCTTCTGCTTCAAAAAACTCAAAAACACTTGCTCGCGTCTCGCCGTCTGTTTCAGTTCCACGCGCTTTGTGAATTACAAGATATTATTCTGATATGACGTACACCCTCACAATTTTTAGAACAGACGTAGATATGTTAATTTATATAAGCGTTATTTATTAAGCTCTAAATTTCAGTAATGACTAATGTACCCAGCTCTCGAGTGTTCTCTCGTTCTTTCAAATTAACATTTGACTGCCTGACTCCTAATTTGCAGATCGACGAATCTTTTATTTTCTACCTGAAAATGACGTTCAATAGAATACTTTAATCAAGTTCGCGGATAAGCTAGTCTATAATTTTGACGTTGAATATTCGCCTTTCAAAGGAGCATTCATTCAAGATTTTATTTTTATCCGGCGAATTTCTTTAACATCGTTCCTGAAATACTTTCTCTGTTACTTATTTTTATTATTTAAAGCCTCACGTTCTTTCGATGATAATTTTTATAATTAATTATTTTCTCTTTACAGTACTATTTTATACCATTTAATTTTTCATTTACAAGCTGTGAAATTATTATTCAATTTACACTATCTATATTTTGTGCATATTTTCTTTATATCTGGAGGAAAGTCCTCCATTAAGAGATAGATTCCTAATATGAGATAGCGGAGTTTCCGCTAAATCAAGAGGCATCGTCGATTGGTTTCATCATGAATTTATTGCCCTTTGAGTGAAATCTGTTTAGTGAAAAATTGATAGTTGGATCGTGTAATCGTTGCGAAAAAAGATTTGCGATTGCATTTGGACGCTGAAAACTTATCTCACATTAGACTCCTATCTCATAATAGAGCATCTTTCCTCTAAATATAGAAATGAAACATCTTTAAAATACGCTGGCATAACGTCTCGCCGTGCAATATGACTTAATGATACAGATATCGCTCTGTTACCTTTCATTACGACAATTCGAGTACACGCGAGAGACAAGCTCGTATTGTGACAGCTTAAATCATTTTTAGATCTCGTTTCAGAATTATAGCAAAGATTACAAGGTAACAACAATAGTTCTCTCCTCGACCTATATCGCTAATAATCAGCGCAACTCTATTACTACGATTGATGCAAAAATGTGCAGTACGAATTAACTTCTTTGTACGTTATTTTCTTCAATTTTCCTTAGCCGAATTATCAAGTACGTATATCAGCACACGTTTTACTTATAGATTTAATTGCGCGTGCACGTGTGGTTTCCGCGCGACCCCGAGATGCAATCTCTGACATGCGATAATTTTGCAAAGTTGAAATAATCGGGTCATCTGGCGAAATCGACACGAACCTGCAATCCGAGCGTAAAATAAAATAATCTATTCGTTCTATTTACATCATTACATTTAAGAGAAATATACGTATTTCCGAGCTTCCAAGGAAAGAAAGACGCGAACAGATCGAAGAAAGGATAGAAACACTGTGAGAAAAATAGATTTAAAAACAACACATTAAAAACTAAAATTCGTTTATCATCTAAAAATGTATCTTTGTGACACAGAGCCGTTTTATCGCGATTCCTTTTCAAAGCACGTTGCTTTAATTCCAAGTTGTCACATATGAATATGCGACAGAAAATTCCGAAGAAAATTACGAGTTTTTAGCATTTTTAGATATCGGTGAGTTTATATAACATTTTTTATTTAACGATGTTAAATAAAAAAATTACAAATACGCGTGTATATACAACATTATTTACAAATTAATGGTAAACTATTACTTGTTGTGTATTTTATTATCCATTTTATATACATAAGATACATAATATTATGTTAATTTAAAAGATACATAATAATATCAAACATATTTATTAAATGTTTTGATAAGCAAATCAATTCAATATAAGAAATACAAAATAATAGAGTTAAATGAGTCTTTTAATCTTTCAGATTTTTAAATGTGTCTTTATATCTTTCGGATTTGTGTAAACTACATAAAATACTATTAGCAACGTTAATTCCATTAAGAAAAGCCGCGCTAATAGCCACTCTTAATGTCTTTCATTAAGTCAATCAATAGCAGCTTATCCACTGATTAAATTGCAAATGGTACTCGTTTGAAATCAATTGGATGATTGCCTTTGCATCGCTGATCAATGATCTGTGTTCGCAATACACTATACATACTCTAAGAATCGTGATTCTTTTAAAGGTAAATTGAAGTAATTGCAGCTCTTAACTACTTAACACGGCAATTATATTGAGTGTCTCATCGCGTTGATGACAGACTCTTTAAATAAATTACAGGTCAATGACCTCAATATAAAAGAATATAGACACACGTACTTTATGAGTCGAATAACTGGAAATGAAGGATTTGTCGCAAACCAAATTTATGCAAGATTAAATAAAATACTTATTCTTTGTTTAACTTCAGGTGGGCTTTATAATAAATCGAAATTTTTGTTTCAAGCAAGATATAATTATTAAAATATTTAATGTTAAAACTGCCACAACTTGGCAGAAATGTAACATGAAAACAATGAAAAAGTAATATCGATAAGAGGAACGTCGATAAAAAAAATAAAAAATAAGTTAACAAGAGAAATATCGCCTTGTTTACAAAAATAACTGATATCGAATATCTTGGCGTAATTCCGATAACTTCAATAACGTAATTTAACAATTTCAAGCTGTATCTTTTCAGCACCAAAAAAAACTCAAAAATGCTGAGGACGTCATATATTTTAATTAAAAAATTATAATTACCATAAATCTGATACAAAATTGATTTTTGCATAGACATGTGTTTGTATTGTAAACTTTGAAGTTGAAATTCACTTGGCATATGTATTTTAATTTGTGTTAATTACGAGTAATGCATAAAACGAATAATATAATGATATTAACTAGTCTCTATTTTAATGTTTGCACAACTCATTATACTGCCTTACTTTTATTAATAATACGAGAACAATTAGCCGCAACGACATTCTATTTTTACCATTATCCTCGTTTCTGCAGCGTTTAAAATACTTGCGATAACCGTTCTCATATCTTGTCGCTAGAATTCTCGTGGAATTCCGTAACATTATATATATTGTACCATGACAAGTTGCGAAAAGTGAAATAATAAATTCACTGACCTGACATAAAAATGTTCGTCCTCCTCGAACAATTCGTCGTCGATAACCGAGAGCTGGATGGTCTTCATGGTCTCGCCGGACTCAAAAGTCAGAGTGCCCTTGGCACTCACATAATCAGATCCGGCCTCGGCGGAGCCATCTTCCGTGCAGTAATCCACAGTGCAGGGTCTACTGAGATCACCTCCAGCCCTGGAAACGCCCACCTCAAAGGTTCCAACGTTCTCCATCACAGTGTAATGACCAGGTTCGAAAAATACTCTCATGGCGTTGACTTGCTCGATATCGATGCTTTCCGCTTCGGCTTTCTGCAACTCGGCCTTGACCTCGCTAAGGTCGCTCTGCGCTCTCTCGCTGATCTTCCTGCTGAGGTTGCCCGCGCCTACCATCTTCCTCGTTGCCTGCACTCTGTAAAAGGCCCTGCTCTTAGGGCCCTTACCCAGCACTTCCTCGTGCGCCATCACCTCCAGCTGCTCCAGAGGCAAAGTCGGATACTTTTTACGCAACTCCTTCAAGGTATTGATGTAATCTCTACGAGTCTGCTCGAACTCTCTCGCTTCGGGGGAATCGGCGTCGGCTAGGCGGTCCACCATGCCGTGAAGACCGTCTTGCTGAGGCTTGATCTCCAGCTCCACCCCCAACTCGGAGTCCGCGACCTCCGCCTGCACGATTACACCCCGCTTGTTCATTCGGTAGCCCTTGTGCAGATACTTGTAGATCAACAGCCGTCGATCAGCAACGTAAGCCGTCAATACCGTCGCCGGGAAGAAGGAGAAGGTCAGGATGCCCTCCCAGACCTCCAGCACACCGGGGCTGGAAACCGCCAGGATAACGTAGAGCCAGACGTAGGCGAAGATGCTCCAGGTGGCGGTGACGAAGAAAACGCGCAGGTGCTTTATCTTCCGGGTCTCACCGTTGGGAATCACAAACACGCACAGGGAAATGATAACAAAAAGATTGTAAGCGGCGGAGCCGACGATCGTGCCCGGGCCCAGCTCGCCCGCCTGAAAGTTCTTCGCCCAAATCTCGATGATGGACAGCAGGATCTCCGGGGCACTGCTGCCGAGCGCCATTAAGGTCAGATTGGCTACCGTCTCGTTCCAGACTCGCACTATGATGATTTGCGGCTCCCTCCCATGACGGCGCACCACCAATTCCTTCTCCTTGGACGTGATCACCTCGATGGCAGCCATGAAACGGTCGCTAATGATCGACACGCCGATAAACAGATACAACAGCAGAAAAAAGTACACCAGGCCCCGAAAGACGACGTCGATCAGATGCAGATTAGCCACCGGCTGCCAGAGCGGTATCACTAGGCCCGGCTCGCAGCGCACCGAGTAGTTCCCAGACATATTGTCCAACTTGTATGTCGAGAATTGCGACTGGTGCTCGGCGGCGGTCTCTCACCAACTTGTCTGCCGTCTCTTCGGGAATGAAGCTCCGCTCGGCAAAATCCTCTTCTTCATTCAGACTAACGAGCGATCTTCCCGCGGCGTTATCTTGACTCGCGACTTGTTGTCCGAGAGAATGAAAAAAAAACAAAATTCGAAAAGTTTACTTGCCCTTCGAGGAAAAGGGCGAGAGGCGAAACAGATTACTTTTTTCTTTTTCGAAAAAGAACGGTCGGAGAGAGCGAGAGAGAGAGACAGAAGAAAGAGAGAGAGGAAGAGAGCGAGAGAAAGATTTAAAAGACTATTTTCTCTCGTTTACGCGAATATTTCGCTCTCCGTTACACCAACGCCAATTAGCAAACCGACGTTCGCCGTTAGACGCGGAAACGCGAACGAATCCAATCTTCCGCGTGCGAGAACAGGCGTGTTTGTTTTTGCTGAAAGAAGGGCGATGACGCTTCGGAACTTGCCCGCGGACAACGGTGATTACACCATCAGGCTCCAATGTTGCGCGGGTCGCGCGAGCTAATTTTCCCAGAACTTTCTTAGCGAACTAATCTCGCTCCCTAATCAAAGTCTTCGACATTGTTTCCCCCCCCCTCCCCCGTGAAAGCTGACCTTGGTGTATTTTTGTCTGTACCGCCCGGTCCTACCCCGCACTCTCACGCACTCCCGCCCTGCTAACACCCTTCTCTCCTTACGCACCACCCGCTCTCGCCCCCAGAGGGTCAGGCTGGAACCGCACGAACAACACTGAGAGAGGGTGTATCGGCGCTGGGAATCGGCTACCGATGGAACCCACCGATATTACCGCGGCAGTGAGCTCCCATCACGAAGCGGACCCTCTGACATGACGGGGTAACAGAACCGTACCGGGCCGCGCTCGAACGAACACTGAGAGAGGAGAGAGAGAAAGAGAGGAGGCTAGAGGAGAGAGCCGGCCAGACCGAGTGGGGAGTGGTGTCTCGAGCTAGCCAGACGTAGCCACCCCATCTCTTCGCCCTCCTCCTCGCCCTTTAGCCTCCTCTCGTCTCGCTTCTAGCCGCGTCCTCGTCGGCGCCGCGGTGCGCCGGTCTTCTCCATCGTGCCGACGGTATCGCCGACCTTGTCGCGGCGGTGCCGCCGTCCTTGTCCGCTCTACAGCATCGGCGGTACCTCTCTTCTTGTCAACCTCGTGACGCTCCCCCTCCGTCTTTCTTCACCCCGCCGTGCCGACGATACTCTCCTCCTCGTCTACCCCACTAGCTCCGTTTACCACCGCCCTCGTCGCGTTACCGCCATCCTCCTCGCCTGCCGCGTCGCGCGGGCGTTCCACGTCTTCGTCGGGCTCTACCGCACCGGCGATACCACTACTCTCCCAACTCTACTCGCCAGGCGGTATCTACGCTCTCATCGTTCGCGAAGAAGTGCCGCCGCTCTTCGCGTATCTTTCGCGCATCTCTCTACCCTACGCACAGTAGTTTCTCGCGTTCGCTCGTACGCGGGGTGTAACGAGGATCTGTCTATCTCTCTCTCTCTCTCTCTCTCTCTCTCTCTGCCGATCCCCTCCCTTTACCTTTTCACCCATCGCTTTTTCTACACCCCTCGTATTTATACCGCTGTCCTCGTCGAACCCTAACACCCTATCTATATTTTCTTTTTCTTCCCCCTCTCTTTCTCCCACCCTCCCCCTCTCTCTTTCTCTCCCCCTCTCTTAGCTCTCTTTCTCTTATTCTATACCAGGGGTGGCTATTGCGTGGCGGCAAGTTTCACGCGCTACTCTCATGATATAATGAAAAGATTTAATTTGACAAATGTAGATAGATTGTGCGTCCGCGTCTTTTCTTCCTCGTAAAATCTGCATCTGAAAAAGTAGAAAATGATAAACCAAAATTATTTTCCCTCCTCGTACGCGTACATGTGGAGAAAAGGGGTGAACGAGAGGGTGCAGAATGAGAAAGGAAAATTAAAATGAAGGCAGAGTGTTAAGACAAGGACATAAAGGACGGAATGTAGAAAAAGTGATGGATAAAAAAGACAGTAAGGGGATTATATGGAAGAGTAGATGCATTTTTATTTTATATTTGAAAAACAAAAGTACATATTTTTTATTAAAAGAACAAAATATATGTTGACTGCTGTCTGTCTTCTTTACATTCTGTATATCATTTCTACATATATTAACAATTTTTAAGTTTAGTTTTTAGCAGTTGCAGGAATTTACAAACAATGTGTGTGAGGGAGAAGAAGAAGAAGGAGAAGAAGAAGAGAGAGTAAAAATAAGTATTTTCTTAATTAAAAATTATTTAACTAAATTTCAGGAATGATTTTTAAATTTTAATTTGTGTGACCAAATAATTGACAAGTTCATCCTCGACTGGTGATTCCGAATTCTTTGCAGTTTCTTTCGAACATAATTTCTTTTAACTATATCCTTCTCTTCCTTATGTAAGTTCAATTGAAACGAGTTTCCGGATATCACCTTCCGTATGGGGTGAGTCCCATAAATAATTAAATTTTAATTACTATTGTCCTAAATGAATCCATTCAAATTGCCCTCGCTCTTCTAAAGTCGTTATCTTCTTAGATCCTTTCTCCATTCCTCTCTCAAACTACCCATATATTTACTCATCCTCCCCATGTTCTCGCCCTTCATTATGACTTGCATTCTTTCTCCTTCACCCCTCAAAGCCAGGAAAGTGTGCCATTTAACATATTTAAAAAAAAATCGAATCTTTACGATAATATTTATTATTAAAATTTTCTTATTAATATTTGTAAAAGCAACGTAAACCTTTTGCATAAATCAATGAAATAAATTTTAGTATAAAACGTTGCGAGATCCTATATTAAAATCACAGCGTTAGAATAAAATTTTCGATAAGCCTCTCGAAATCTTACCCTCTTTTGAAGCTCCTATATGCGCTATTGCTTTAAACTCGATCCTCGTCACATTGGGGTGTCTATCCTCTTCCCGTGCTCGTTGCACCGCGCCCTCTTCTCATACCTCGGTTCCCCCTACACGATTGCGCATGTGCGCCACCCGCAGGGTGCGCAAGCAATATCCTGAAAGGGGTAGAAGCTCACTTCGGTATCTAGCATCTAGCTAGCACGGTTAATTCTAGATCAAGTGTAATAGCGAATTTACACGGACATGGAAAGTAATTGATTACAATTTTTACAATTATTTCCAATCGATCAATGAAATGGTAATTATATACAATCAGTTCTCTTATTATTGACATTTATTATTGCAATTTTTACCCAATAATTATGAAATAAAAAATTGTTTTCATTAAACAGCTTCATTACAGATTTTCAATCGATACTTTGCGATAAAAATGTTTTTAATTAACGTAATGAATCATTCTAATTGCCAATTACTGTTAAAAAGCAATTCTCTTAGAATTATGAAGAATTTAACTAAATTGCATTAATTATTAACAAAATACTACACTCATAGAAAATAAATGAAATATCAATCGATAAAATCGATACGGTTAATTTTATAATTTTTATTTATTCTTAATTAATAAATCCGAATCTCATGAAAGGCTTTTTTTTAATCGACTTAATAATGCATACAATCAAAATTACATTTGCGGAATTTGCAATGCGATCGCTTTGATTAATGATTAACGATTTTATCGTGATTGATGGCGATCGCAGTTTCGGATACATTTGATATTCCGATTTTTAATACGTATTATATATATTATGCGTTATAGGTACGAATGTTATTATATTATATAAACATGATCTAGATATAATTTAAACGCGACGACAGAAACGTATATTTAACGAACTTTTACACGTACGTGAAATGCGTTTAATCCTCTAGGACTTTGCAATGCGAAATGAAAGAAAAAAGTGAAATAAAAGATTTACCTTCGTGGAAATCGTAGCGATCTCTAGAATTTGATATGCACGGGCTTAAACACTGTGCTCATTTCTTTCACTGTGTTTGCATTTATTTCGCGATGTCGTTAGCTCGCGCCGAGTAAAATAGGATAAAAAAAATATTAAACGCGTCAAATTAAAAAATTCTTTCAATAGATAAAAGATATGCTGTTAGATCATTTTATAACTAAACTGTTAGCTTTAGAATAAGAAGTTTTTAGCAATCTCTTCAAAGTATAAACAACTTCGAATAAGTTAAATGTTTAATAAATGTAACTGCTACAGAAGAGAAGAGTTGTGTAAAGGATACGTAATGAATCTAAACAAGTGATAACAATGAGACGTAGGATACATATAAATTTTTGCGCAGACATAACTCCACACTTGATAATGCGAACAAGTTTATTATAAAACCCATTTGTTTTAAAAGACATAAGCATCACAAGCAGAATACGCATGTAATTACGCATGAATGTTATATAATTATCTTATAGCAATACATAATAATGCATGTCTTAAATGATCAAGCTTATAATAAAGCACTAGCTACAATGGTATACTTTTAAGTACAGTCCTTATGTAATGAAATCAAAGAACTTATTTTGTTTCAAATACTTCATTTTAAGCGTACGCACACTATAAAGTGACAACGATTATTTTTTCGGTTTTATATGTAAAACTAAATAAGTATCGTGACATTTGTCGTAACAAACTTTATTATGTGTTTGAATGGTGAACAAATAAAATTGTTTACAAATTTACGTACTCGCTAAATGAGTTACACAGTGAAAGATGATTTCAAAAATTTACATTAGCAAAACATTGCAACCGATATACGTTTGTTATTTAATACAGTTTGGTATGAAGCGTTTTTTAATCTTTCTAAAGGATATTTAATACAAATAGAGAGAATCTCTGAAAATAAGTACTGTAAGGTGGTATATTTTTCTAAGTGGTAAAAAGATTTCATATTGTAACTGTTCTTTTTTCACCAATACGTTTTAATTCAATACCGAGAAATTTAATTTTTGTCTCATCTCTGTTTCTAATATTTGTACAAAATGCGTGGGCAATATTTTTTAAATGAAATAGTTAAATGTTTTCCCAGTCGTTAAAGAAAAATTTCACCATGTAGTTTACCTTAGTTAAAATAATCCATTTCATTTTTAACGTATTTTGTATAAGATGTATGTAGGAACGAGACTTAAATGATTATACATAAATTCCAAAATGGTTATTTTAATTAAAAATACTTAGGAGTAAGATTATCACTTTGTTAGTTCCATTCATCATCGTCTATACCATTTTCATTATTATCTTCCTCTTCCTCGCACTGGCACTTGTAGTCAATACGGATATTCGTTAAATGCACATTTAAAGATTCTGGAAGTGAATGGAAAGATCTCGCTTTCAATACTAGCAAGGGATTCTCATCAAGATAAATATTTCTCAGCGTCTTAATGTTGACCAATGACATGCTGTCCAGTTCGGTGAAGTTATTTCGTTCAAGATGTAGCTCTGTGATGGCCAACGAATATCCCCAATGTGGTGGTAGATGCTTGAGTAGATTGTTTGAAAGGTCCAGATGTTGCAGGTTTTGAAGACTGTAGAAAGCTCGGGCCTCAATGGTGGTTATGACATTGTTTGATAAATATAAAAATTCCAAATTTCTCAAGGAAGTGCAGAAAGTGAGATAAGGAATTGCGCTGATGCGATTCCCAGACAGATCCAGGGTCTTTAGATTATACAGCGAGCAAACATCCGGTACTCTAACAAGTGTATTATTAGCCAAAGAAAGAACACTTATCATCCTAGTATTATTAAAAGTGCCCATAGCCACATCAGAGATCTTGTTGCCTGAAAGGTCTAACTCTAACAAATTACTCGTCTCACTGAAGGCATCGAGCGATATTTCTGAGATCAGATTGTTGGATAAAGCCAGCTTCCGTAATTCGAAAGCGCCTTTCAAGGGTATGGATTCGTCTTCGCAGTTCTCAAAGCATACTTGGGTAATAACGTTATCATCCATATTGAGCTCCTGTATGTTCCTAGAATTCATAGACAAAATTAAAACGAAGAAACAAATAGTATTAGCAATAATAGTAACAATAATATTAAATGCAGTAACAACAATGGTAGTAATACAACAAAGACAATAGTAACAGCTATAAAAATGACAAAAGTAATAATATAAAATTCATAACTAGAATGGTAATAACAGTTATTAAAATAACAAAAATAATGAATATTTATAATAATAATAACAATGCTAACATTACCAATAATGACAATAACAAAAGTATAGCAATGTCAATTTAAAATCCAGTTTTTTATAAATACAAAAATGTTTTTAAATAAAAAAACAATTTTAAATATTTATACCTGAGTTTGCCTTGTTTGATTCGATCAATAAAATTTTTAGCCAGATGAAGTTGAGTCAACGTTGCCGGAAGATTGTCAAAGACGATGTTACTGGAATTGATGCTGTTATTGCTCAGATGTAAATGAGTCAAGGAAGGCGTTGCTATGTGAAAAGGTATTTGAAAATTTCCTAATTGATTGTTGCACAAGTGCAGATATTTCAAGTTTGGAAACGGTTCATATTCCGTCAGCATGTTTGTAACTGGGTTATTGAAATCTCGATTGTTGTCGATAATCAACGTCTCCAGCTTGTTGTTTCCGATCAACGCCAATAGCTTTTCCTTCGGAATTTTATTCCCAGAAAGGTCCAGATACTTCAAGTTTCGCATGTTGCGGAAAGCGAATGGCGAAATCTCGTTTATGTCATTATCATCCAGACTGAGATTAATAACGTCATTGCTGTTGATAAAATCTCGACCAATTTTCTGAAGACCGACGTTAGAGAAACTGAAGATATGACTATGAGGGATGCAGGGGTTTACAGGTGGATGGATTGTAGGATGAGGGTAGATGTGTGATTGTCTAGTTGTACCGGAAGGATTATCGTCCAGATGTCCAGAGGTTGGAAATAATTTTGTATAATGCCTCTTGAAATCGAAATCTTTAGTTCTGTTCTGATAGTGAGCTTTCGCTAGATAGATGATGACGAAAACGAAGACAATCGTAAATTTGTAGCCTAGCGCCATCTAAAAAAGAAAAAAATTAAATAGACAAATTAATATATTTAACAGTAAGAGTAGAAAACAAACTAATTTGATATATTTTTCTAGAGAATTAATAAACTTAGTTTATTGATAATAAACTGATATAAAATAAAAAATTAATAAAATAATAATAAAACTGTAATGAATTTTTAAAAGAAACTACAACTTCACGAAAAGTAATACTATATATACAAATAAGTAATAAATTAAATTAAAAAATTAGGAAGAAGAATAGCTTAGTTATTATTAAACTTACATAAAATATATGGTAATAGTAAAAATATAAATTTGTATATTAACAGGGTTGGGAAGTAACTCGTTACTTGTAAAGAAGTTACAGTTACAGTTACTTTTTTTGGCAACTCTAACTTAACATCGTTACATTAATGGTTACTTTATATATTTTTTAAACCTCCACAGATCGCATTAGGCCTTGCATTTATGCATAAACGCCTTTATCGACGCTTTACAATTCAAATGCAGATTTGATATTTTTTTTTTCATTGCAAGAAAGTAACTGCGAAGTAACGATTCGTTACTTTTTAAGTAACTGTAACGCGTTGCTTTTCAGAATTGGTAACTTAAGTAACTGTAACTAGTTACATTTTTTGGCGAAAAAAACTTTAAGTGTATAACTGGATACTTTTATAAAGTATCTTCCCCAAACCTGTATATATTAATATACATGTGTAATATTTAAAAAAGCGGTGTGAAATTTTGCAGCTATACATATAATTCATTAAAAAAGAAAACTATAATATAACTAAATAAACTAACAAAATGAAACAAAGTAAATCTTTCATAATAAACAGTATTTTTCTATTTTGACAATGTAAGTTATCTATTCACATCTACATACCTTAAAACAGAGAATTATATATATATTAAAATTATATGCAACAATTATTAAAATAATTGCAGAGAGTTTTAGTGTATTTTTTTATTACTTATGCGAGAGGCATTCTATGTGTCAGTCTTCCATAATTACAGTGAAACAATACTTAATAAATTCTGTATAAGATTTTCAATTCGAATATAAGATAATACTTAGAAGAACAATTATTTAAATCTATTTATATTAAACAATCAATAAATAGTGTACAAACATAAATACATTATAGATGTATTATAAAAAGTTTATTTATATGCTCTTTATATGAAAATAAAATAATAATGATTTCGGAGTAAGTTCTAATAATTAGTGGGATACTCACTTTGCGGATAATAGTTGTGCGGTTTTTATTTTCAAGTTGTTAAACGCTTTTCAAATACTTCTCACTCGCGGATTAATTCACTCAAGCGGTCTAACACCTTTTGTCGCAAGCGGGCAAACTGATCTTCTTATATACCGAGGATGGTCTTCATGGGGTCCGTCTTCGCGTAATAGCAGTGCCGTCCGAATAACGCATCGTATCCACCAGTTGAAAGTAACTCATTCATATTAGATTAAGTTTATTTAATTAAGTACAGTTCGAGAGATTATATCTCATTATGTATAATATATTATATTAAACAACTAACGTTCACACACCCCCTTTTCAATTTGGGATCCTATTTGATTGATGTCTCTCCCCGAAGCCAAAATATTAATTTACTTTGACTGTAATGTACTACTTATAATTTATAAAATATAATTAAAAATGTATCTTGTTACATGATTTAATTAAATCATTTTTTATATCAGGGTATAAAACATCTCTAAGGTATGTATATTTTAATACTTGGGTATAAATCATTTTCAAAATAAGACAAATCTAAAATTAAAGGTCCTTCGTGCTTTGGAATTGATTCTAATGTAAACATAAATGTATATACATAAATGTTCCTTTTTAAAAACTGTACGTCTTCTAAAATAATTATATTTTCTAATCTCCTTCTTTTATTTTTTAGATTTTACCTTTCTGTTCTTTTATATTTATATATTTTATCTGGGGTACAAAGAAATATATTAAAATTTTAATTGCATCATAATTAAATGTACAAAGATATAAAGAGTAGATAAAAGAGTATGTGTAAAATATCGAAGATTGTAAAATTTATATAATGTCCATGTCCTTTTTTTAACCGTGGTCAAAGATTATCGTTGTACTTTCCTGAGCACATGCGACGGTGTCTTATATCACGTGGATGATTTCTCGTGAACGACATGGATTCTTACGGCTAGTCTTACACAATTATCATGCTATTTATCATCAACGTCTAGTGATAAATGATCTGAACCATTCAGAGCTTGGTGAGAAAAATTCTCAGAAAGGCAGTCCTAATAAATAACTTTTTAGCGTTGCAATAATAAAGTAGGCACAGTATTTGAAAGTGTTTGAAGAATTTGACATATCTTATAATTAAATTATATCGCCTTTTATACATAAATTTTAAATATATTTTTTCTTAAAATGTCTAATTAAGTTGCTTTGGTTTGTACTGAATAAATAATTTTATTAGCATTTGTATACGCATTCTTTTAGCAGAGTGGCTTCTATAAGTTTAAGTTCGTTCTTTTTTTAGTAAGAAATTCAGCAGCATACTCAGCAGTTAGCGAAGTTGTGAGAGTGGTGAGTATCAACTAACAGCCCAATGGCGAGGTTTTCTTATTACATATCATATAGCATCGTTGGTATGCCGTTATTTCAAATAAACGGACCACTTAAATATACTAAATAATTATTTTATTTTTAGTTTACAAAAGTGATATAACGAGCATTAAAGTTCGCAGTGTATTTGGAAAACAATAATCGGGAATATAACTACGAATTATGGCGTGTTACATTTTTTGTGTTTTACATGATAGACGAATAAAATTAGAGAAACAATTATATATTATAACGGAATAACAAATAAACGCTAAACAAATGCTTAATAATAAAAGCAGTGAAAATTAAAAATAGTAATCTGTAGATATAATCGTACAGCAATAAAAACGAATCATCTTAAACTAATATAAGTATACGGTAATGAAATCCGGAAACGGATCTAACTCTAGGGTGGTTATTTTGGTAAAAGTATTATTTTTTACAAATAAGTGTTGCAATGATGGGACTGAGTAGATTCCCATATCTCCTATGCTTCCAAATAGATTTGAATTTAAATTTAAATATTGGAGGTTGGTTAAAGGCAGTGTCCAGTCAGTAGGCAAGTAACTTAACTGGTTTTCCGATAAATCTAAATATTCCAATCTATTTAAACCCGAAAAAGTTACCTTGTCAATGCGATTAATCCTATTTTTTTTCAATGACAACTTATTCAAGAATTGTAAATATTGAAAACTGTGTGGTTTAATGTATTCTATCATATTGTAACTCAATGACAATTCGGTAAGCCACTGCACATTACTTAGAATAGGAATATGCGAAAGTTCATTATTATCTAATAAAAGTATACGCAGTGCATTTAACGGGTTTACGTAAAAAATATCAATCGAATTATACATATTATTTCTTGATAAATCCAGTTGCTCTAAATTCGGTGTATCAAGAACAGCTTCTTCATTTAAAATCGTGCAGTTTGCTAACGACAAAGTGAGCAATGTTGCAGACTTTATATTGAGTTTTTTAATAGGATTTCCATCCAAATGTAAACTTGCAATTTCTGCTAGATTCTCTAGCGTTAAATTGTAGAGGTAGTTGTCCTCCAAGTGGAGGATGCGTAAAGATGACGGGATTTTGTTAAAAAAGTTGGGGTCCAACTCTTCCGCGTTGATGTTCATTAAATCTAAACGTACCAATTTCGGAAAAGATATATTAAAATCCCAGTTCAAACTGGATATGTCGTTCCCACTTAAATCAAGGTATTCGGCATTTGGTAGTCTCATTTTACTGCTGTCGAAGATCATATGTTCATAGTTCTTCTCCTTTCTTAAATCTTCGTCAAAAACTTCCAGTTCCGGTAAGGCATTGATATGCACCATCGTTTGATAGCTGAGGTCCAGTACTCGTACATAAGCGTGATGAATTTTATTTTCCTCATATAAATTAAGACTATTCCGTGACATGTTCAAACAAGACAATGATGTCACGTGAAACAAAATATTTTGAGGAATTTTCTTTAGAAAATTGTTGGCTAGTGACACATGACGGATGGCGTCACTTCGAATAATATCATTCGGAATAAATTTTAAATTCATTCCACTTAAATTTAATTCTTCTGTACTATCACAATTTTTTATTTTTTGATTTGGTTCATTTGTTATTTTTGTATTATATATGTTTTCGAAGTCATCTGAGCGTATAGATACGCTTTTTGTATATAATACTTGTTGTAATGTATACTTTCCATAAAAGGAAAGTATTAATACGAAACATATTGTATTCTTCATCTGTAAAAATAATTAAAAAATAACACTAACATTACATGATGTTAATGCACAGTAGTTTAAATAACTTAACTATACAAAACTTTACTAAAAACATTTATTATTTAACTTTTTCCTTAACGAGTGAATGTCTGTTCAAATTATTCCTTTATACATTATCTTTAACATTACATATTTTGGAAATCATTTGTTAAACCATTTTTTAATCTATTTAAAATTAAGAAAAAAATCACAATTTGTTAATGATCAATTGTTGATTCAAAATAAAAAATTAAATATAAATTTACGAAAATTGTGTCACTTATTTTTTAATCCTAATCTTGCATTTATCTATTAAAGAAAGTGCATTAAAGAAAATCGTGTAAGAAGATATCACGAAAATATCATTAATATTATATCAATTTTATAATCAACAATTAACATGTTATTTACAATTGGTAAAATTATATATATTAATGAAAATAAATTGTATATCAGAGAGATTGATCAAAACGCAATTATTCAATAGATGTACAATATTATAGAAACATAAAAAATGAACTAAAATATCATTATTTTAAATAAAATAACAGATAAGTAGAAATAAAAAGAACACACATTTTTTAAGCAAGCAGTTATAAAATTAATGTTGAAAACCTAGAGTTTGTCAGACATGTTCATGTTTAACGTAAGAAAACAAACATAGACGTGTGTATGTTTCAAGATTTAAAAAATTATTATTTTACTAGAAATATTTATGAGATATTGAGGACTAACAATAATTATTATATTAACATCATATTTTTGAATATAACGACATTATTAATAAGATAATTATTGTGTTAACGAGAACGACATGATATTTATATAATGATCTCATCTCATTATTGATTTCATATTTTATTAATTATTGTAAAAACTATAACATGCTCCAATAATATAATGGCGAAATACTGTCTCCGTTAATCACTTCTTGATAAAATATCAAATTTATATGTAAGTGTTTAAAAACTAACGGAAATAACATACCGTTAAATAGCTTCGAAGTTATTCTCTAATTTGTCTAGGCCTCAGTCACTGAGCTATTTCAAGCGAAAACTGCGCTTTCAAAACTGCAGCCCCTATTTATATCATCACGTAATTGTTAAAAATCAACGTTTGTCTTCTCTCTCTCTCGTTGTTATCACCGGATATGAACGCAAAGTTCATATCGACAGATACGTTTGAATATCTAACAAACGCATTTATGTCTTTTCTGCATATGTGTAGATAAACACATAATGTATAATGCACAGAAATCATTAATAAATTTTATATTTGAAAAAATTAATTAGAAAAGAGAAATTATATGTTACAATATTCATGAAGCTATTGTGATTATAAAGAATTAACGAACATCAATTGCTCAACAGATGTAGCTTAAACGTTATAATCTTTAAAGTATATAGGTCTCTCTCTGTCTCTCTTGACAAGTTTCTCGAAATAACAAATATAAAATTCTCTGTTGTACATTTTCTTCTCTCTATTCTACTTAAATCTTTTCTCTGCAAGCCAAGATACTTCTCTTACACTGTTCTCCCGTGACACTGCTCTCACATTTACCACATAATCACATGAACACACAGAATAAAGAAGTGAATGAAAGACTGCAAAATAGAATAGTAATAAAATAGACGGAAAAAGAGTAGTAAATAAATAAAAATTTTAGGATATGGAAAAGCTTTAATAACCATAAAGTAAACGAAATTTATTATGCATTTAAATATAATTATTACATAATAATTATATTTAACTGTATCTAATTGTATAACTATATTTAATTTTGGTTAATGTATTTGAATATTATTATAAAAATATTATGTTAAAAGATGTAAATAGTTTTTAATTGTTAAATGTTTATTTAAAGTGTTCTTCATTTAAATTCTTATTTCACTATTAATCAACATTATTTCTAGAATTAATCATTGATTTGCACACATCATTAAAGTTTTCATATTTACTGTTGTTTAAATAAATTATGTGATTGAAATGCGATACAGAATTAATAGTAATAAGCGTACTTGACAGCTTTTAATATTCAATAGTATAGATTATGTGAAATATATTGCCTATATCAAGCATCCTTAACGAGTTTTTGCGTTATCAATGGGATGGTTTCGCCCGATCGCCGTGTGTATATCGAGTTTCCGTAATTGAATTTTCATATCGGTGCTTTATGTGCTTCCAAAGCCTCTGTAATAAATATTAAATAAATTAATTTTATTAATTTTAATAACTTCGACGATTTCACGATAAAAATCATTATATATGTATATCTCAAAAAACCTAGAATAATATATATTTGTATTTATGTATATTCTTATAATATACACGTATATCAGCATATTTTAATGCATACCCCTTCGTTCACAGTTTCGTATATATAATCGCAAGCCTGATCGTAAGCTCTCTCAAAGAACATCGCGCTAATCACAACGCCAAGCGTGAACGTAGAACTCCGCTTGCATACGTAACGATAAAATAAGCGTGCAGCCGTGCTGAACATGATCAGAAATTATGGAAAATACTGAAAGATACACATGAAGTGCTTGTAGCTTGAAATATTGTTTGTCAAATTATTCATTTATTTATCACGTTTCCAGAGAAAAGGAACATATTCACGGAATTGACCAAAAAACATTTTAACATTCGAAATAATGTCATTTTGAAAGAAACGACAATAAGTGTATACAGATTATATCTATAATAATTCGACTTTATAATTAACTATTTCAAGGAGAAATTAGATACTTACAACTACAAATAAATAAATTACGTTGAATAGTTTTATTCTAATTTTTATTTTGATATCATTCTTACTTTGTATGTACTAGTTTAATGATAAGTTATCCTAATATCCTGTTTTGGGTTATTTTAGTCTATCTATTTCTAGGAAAAGATAGCGCAAAGGGTAATAGCGATAAGATGAATCATTCTGTTCTATTTTCAATTAATTGCACAACTTTTGCATGTGACTTGGGTTTCTATTTGATAACAAAAGCTATGATTATAGATGAGAAAATAATATTGAATAATGTAGAACATTTTTTTATTCAAGATTTGTCCTCGAAAGAAAACTATCTTTGAAATTTGATATATTGATCATATATTTTCGCTCTTCGTCAATTATAGAATATTCCATATACCGTTGAAAAAGTAACTTAAAAATCACGTTTTGCAATTTGATCTTGCAAACTTCAATAAATCTTCTAGCAATTTGTGCTGACGGTAATGTAAATGAGAGTAAGCTAAATAAAACACATTGTTGAACATGTTTTATTATTAATAGTCATGCTTGTATATTTATATTCTTAATAGAAATAACGATATCGTAGAAAAATACAAGATAAGTACATACATCCGGAATTTACTACATATAAAAGCAATAACCATTTTTTAACATAATAACGGAAAATATACACAAAGTCTTTTTCTCACACATGGGTAGCTCGTGCGAGTGTGTGCGTTACAAAAACGCATTGGTTTAAAACTTAATTCTAGACAACATTAATTTCACGTTTTCTTCTCATCGCGATGCAATGTTTTCGGAATCGAAGTTGGTGTTTGCAATACTTTCCGCGATATCCTTATCTGTCCGGATACTGGATCTCGTCCGAAATATTTGACCTGTATCTCTTGACCGACTTCAAATCCTAGAGCGCTGGGATGATGGATTTTACGCTGGTCCAATTGCGAGTTGGGTAATAATGCCGGCACCATGTTGGAATATAACGTCACCAAGACCCCAGTTTCACAAATTTCCACTATCTTCGCAGTATAAATAGCGCCGAATTCCAAGGTCGGCTCGCGATCCTTTTGCAAAATGCTCTGTATCATATCCTTGGCCTCAGTCATAGCAGCTTCATTTGGCGCAAATATCGAATAGGTGTTTTCATCGTGCGGATATATCTGTGCGGTATAAAAATGAAGAACTGATACATTTCAAATTATAATAATAACCGCGAGCGACTTTTTAACTTAACAGCAACAGGTCATCGCATACAGAAACTTTTAGTAGTCACATTTTTTCGATTGCGATAAAAATCTTACGTGCACTCCGGTTTCCAACAATATTTTCTTCAGGTTCATCCCACCAACCCCGAGGAACTTTCCTCTTTGATGAATAGGAACCTCCAAGTTATCGACCACCGGCATCTTGTCTTTCCTAGTTTCTCGCGGTGTCCGTATCACTTGATTCATAATCTTAATTATCTCTAATTTAGCATTCGTCGCATGATGTATACATTCCATCATAATTTTTAACGGGACACCTGGTATCTTTACATCAGCCTGAAACGCGGTGAATCCTCGCTTGGTACCAGCTATTTTGAAATCCATGTCCCCAAGGTAATCCTCAATTCCCTGCGGGCAAAAGTTTTTGCCAGTCGTGAAAATAGCTGATTTTAATACCAACATTCAATGCCGGTGGTGGTTAAACTTTAACTCATAAATAGATCGAGATAAATTTATCCTGAAAGGATTAACAATCTGATCTCATCTGAATATGTAATGAAAAATAGAGAATCTTATTTCAGATATTCTTTATGTCCTCCAAAGTCAAATCAATATATATTCAATTAATAAATTACTTCATGTCGTACAACTTTTGCACGAAACTTTCTTTTCCTTAATAGCATACTTTCTGAAATATTTTTAAGTATCGATATTATATTTATGATCGATACTTTAGTCCCGTTTCACGTGTGCGCGTTTTTGGAATACAGAATAAGTCAAGTAAAACTTAACAGAGCTTAATATCCGGAGAACTACGCGATCAGCTTTCATCGTTCCAATCTCGAATTTTATAGATTCCAAAAATCCTTAAACCTGTGTCAAGATCTATCTTCATTCATCGACTCTGAAGAGTAAAGCGAGGGTAACTTTAAAATTTCAAATGAAACCTATGTAATATCAATTACCCAGTGAGAAATGATTCGTCGATCGACGTCGAAACGACGTCGAATCGACATCGACACCGTCGAATTGGCGTAGTTTTATAATTTATGTTATTAGACAAACAATCTTTGTCTGATAATTGTTTCTTAAAACCACTCTCCTTTAAAAATTGTGTGAATGTTTGAAATTCGGAGAGACATATGTATATATAGATAGTATATGTATATAACTGCGTTAATTAGTTACCTAACCGGTGTAAGGACTATGTAAATACGTACTAATATATCAGTCAATATCTTGTAGTCCTCGATATTCGTATTGGTTTCATTAAATTTAGTTACAAGACCAATAGCTACGCCTGCTGCTGCCGAAGATATCGGTATACCTGCGTCCAGCAGTGCCAAACTTCCACCGCAGACAGTAGCCATTGAGGAAGAACCTTTTTGTGGAATACAAGATATAAATAACTTGTAAAATTTCTGGTACGTCATATCGAGACAATACAAAAGCGTTTTTTCATGAAATCAGGTTGAGTCACTCTGAAGTCATCTTACCATTCGATTCTAGGACCTCGCTAGTCAGTCTTATAGTGAAGGGATAATCCTTTGGAAGAACCGGTCGCAAAGCTTTCTCCGCCAAAGCGCCGTGTCCCATTTCTCGGCGACCTACTCGGCTTACACGTCCCGTCTCATTGGTCGCGTAAGGTGGAAACTCGTAATGGAGAAAGAAATTCTTTTCCTTCATGCCACTGCCAGAAAAAATTATATTTTAAACATTCGTTATACGTTAATAAGATTGAATTTAAGGAACGATCAACATCTGGCTGAAGAGGAGCCGAGTAAAAATCGAATATAGTAAATTGTGAATATCCTCTTATCTGTGAGCGACTACAATAAATTGCATTGTATAGACATTCGTGCTAGTCAATGTTCTTGTCTCAGATCAATTCTTTAGTAAAACTATTCTAATTTTAACTTTTTATCTTTAGATCGAGATCTCTGCAGAACAATACAATCTACATTTTGACGCAGTTGCAACACAGACTTCTGTATACTACTAGACTGCTACCTTCGAGCTGAAAAGTGAGGAAAGAATTCCGCCACTTGTTAAGTAAATAAAATAGTACAGGAAAGTCCTCTATTATGAGAGAGGATCTTAATATGGGATCGCGGGGTTTTTGTTAAATTAACTGGTGTCATCAATTGATACCACCATGAATTTATTGCCCTTGTCTGTCTGTTTAGTAGAAAATCCATTGTTAAATTGTGTAATCGTTGCGAAAACAAAAAAGATTGGTGATTGAAAACCTGCTGTCTCATATTAGAAACCTATCCCATAATGGAGGACTTTCCTCTATGTATGCATCGGTGCATTAACAAGACATGACGGAACTCTTGCCTCACTTTTCAGCTCAAAGGTAGCAGTCTAGTAGTATATAAAAGTCTGTGAGTTGCAATGTCATAAAACAAAATAAACCAGAAAGGAAAAGTGATGTCGAAGCTTGCTCTACTATTAATATACCTGATTAGCATTGAAATGGTATCCATCTTAAGTGCACTTTCCAGAGAATCCAAAGTCACGGTGCACATGACCTGGGTTTGACCTCTTTGAAACACAGCTGAACCATGAAGAGGGTCGAAGAGATTTACTTGACACGATATATCGCGTAAACCGTCCAACGGGCGACCGTCGCATCTGCAAATTATCAATTTCCGACATCTTGATTCGTCATTCGAAGATCGACAGTTAATATCTTGCGAAATGAGAAAAAAATACCTGATATCCTTGTTTAAAATCAACGTCCTAAATACATCTTTGCTAATTAACCCAAAGACTCTCTCCGCTAATTGGACATTCAAGTCCGCGTTATCGTTTTGCAATGTTTTAATAACGCTGTCTCTAAGAGCGGAAACCGCATTGTCTCTCGATATTTTATCGTGCGCGCTGCTCGAAAAGATGTCTTGCAACTTTGCCTCCGAGAGTTCCTTCACGGCACTCGTCAAACTGTCGTCCGGCTGCTGCCCGTCCGTTTCTATCGTTCTTTTCGTTTTACCACACGTCTTTTGTAAATTCGTTATCGCCGCCACAATGCCCTGGCACTCCTTGACGCCGAGCTTGAGCGCCTTCCTCAACTGTTGCTCCAGTATCTCATTGGCCGAGCCTTCCAACATGACGATTAGATTCTGCTTAGTCGCGGTGATAATAAGGTTCAACGCGCTGGCCTGAATTTGGCATCTGGTAGGATTGATTATTATTTCGTTGTCGATCATCCCAACTCTCACCGCGCCCACGGGACCGTTCCACGGAATGTCGGAAACGCTGAGGGCCGCGGAGGCGCCATTGATAGCGATCACATCCGGGTCGTTTACGCCGTCGATGGCTAGCATGTTGCACATTAGCTGGGTGTCGAAGTAGAACCCTTCCGGGAATAACGGCCTCAAGGACCGATCTATGACCCTGCTCGTGAGAATCTCGTGCTCGCTCGGCCCGAGCTCCCTTCGTAGGAAGTTGGTTGGTATCCGGCCGGCCGCCGCCGCTTTCTGTCTGTAGTCCACGACGAGCGGTAGGAACGAGGAGGCGGACGGTTGCTGTTTGCAGACCGCCGTGACCATGACGGAAGTGTCTCCCAGAGTCGCAACCGCACAGCCATCGGCGAAGCGTGCATATTTGCCCGTGGAGAAGTGGAGCTGCTTGCTGGATGCATAGAAAAACATATCAATCGGGGATACATACGAATTAGCCCCGGTTTCACCGAACGTCGCTTACTTTTAATCTTAGTCTAATTCACGTTTGTCTCTATCTAGAGTGACAGCTGGAACGAGACAAGGAACGAATTAAGCTAAGCTTAAAGAGCGACGTTGGTGAAACCGGACCTTAATTGACTTGGGCCTGACGTTTCACCAAATGTCGTTAAACTTTAATCTTAGTTCAATTCATATTTGTCTCTTTCTAGAGTGACACTTGGAAAGAGACAAAGAACGAATTAAGCTAAACTTAAAGTTAAGCAACGCTGGTGAATCGTTGGTGGGTCTTGGGTTCAATTTCACAAACGTCGGTTAACCAGAGTTCAATCAACTTCCATCTTTTTCTATCTTGTTATCTAAGAGACAGAAAATCAATTAACCTTCAGTTAGCAGTTAACCAACGTTTGTGAAACTGGTCATTAAAGTCTGATCTGCAATGTGCTCCTTGCGTCTAAAAACATTCTATCTCGTAGCCAATAAAGTTTGGTGCATTGTGTTGATAAATTACACATTACAATTGTGCATCGTTGATAAATTTTTCAAGCGTCCTATACCAGAACGAGCTGGTATACTTTGAGCATTTGGTTTTACTTCATCTTCGATAGGCTGCCAGCCTTGCCAAAGGAAACCTGCAACCTGGAGATGTACAAACTCCTAAAGGGGTATGTGTGCCAGGATACTCTCGGTGGTTGCCAAAATGTTGAATGTTACGCGTCGTCTACAATGCATGGAGCAAGTCTGGAGTAAGGAGTAGGAGTAGAAAAATTAATCAACTTAATTTTTTTACTCCTACTTCAGCTCCAACGCTTTACTCTCGGCGAATCAGGACGCCATTGGCCAGTGTTAAAATACTTGAAAAATTATGCCTGTAGTTCAGCTCCGCTACAAAAGCTAAAAAGGCTATGGTTCTCTCTTGCTCCGAGCTTGCTCCACGTATTGTAGACGACGCTTCCCTCTTTACGCCGGGTTTACTCCACGCATTAAAACAAGGGTGAGAGTGTCGACACGACTGGAACCACCTACAAACCACCTTTCGCGTGAGCTTTATTTATATTCTTTCGAGCGTACGCGGCTGTTTTACGACTCGGGCTACACGCGGATGTTTCGTTTCAACAGAACTCACGGGCCGTGACGTCTAATTGCAGCGTAAAAACCGCTGTAAACGCCCAACGTCGTGCCTAGCGTGGAGCGTATAGGTTACGGCGTGCAAACGTGACCACCTTACCCGTCGGACAGCGTGACGGTCTCCGTACCGGCGTTCTTGCCACCCGCGCTGCTAAACTTGGCGTGACAAATACTGCCGCTCTTGTACGAATTCTTACACGTCGAGAATACCGATCTGCGGTAGCCGCATAACCTAAAACCCGTGAATGCTATCATCTTTGGATAACACGAGCACGTGGGGGACCACAACTATAGGCATAGTAAATACAGACTGACTATCCCATTGAATAAGCTGAAGCTTGTGAAGAGAGAGAGAGAGAGAGAGAGAGAGAAGATTTAAGAAAACTCTCTTTCTCTGTCTTACACCATCGTGAAAAGGGGGAATCACGCATGCGTAGTACTGCGCAGACGCAATTCTTGCCTTTTACGATGGGTAAGAGAGAGAAACGAAGTCTTCTTAAATGTTCTCTCTCTCTCTCTCTCTTCACAAGCTTCAGTTTATTGAATGGGACGCTCAGTCTATATTTACTATGTCTACGGGGACTACAACTCCATTGCCTGAGCCGCCGACAGCGATATTTGAAGCAAAGCAGTCACGTCCGGACGGGAATAACGTATGGAGAGCGCCATTAATGCCTTCCCGCTTGAGATCGGCTTCCGCCAATCAGGCGCGTCGCGCCCAGGTATCCGTACGTCATGGGTCTGTTCTTTTTAGCTGAACCGGCTGCACCAGTTCAGCGTTTATCTCCCTCCTTCTACAGTGATGTCCGATAAAATTACTTTATTTTAATAGCAATGTATAATATATATTAATTATTTTATCGACACCGTGTATACGCGAGATTTGTCGCGTCGCTTATGAGATCTCGAAAAGTTCTCGCGCTTAGAACGAGGTAAATAAAGTTTCGAGCGTTGAGGAGAGAACAAGCGATGTAAACGGATTTGTTTTACAGGCCAGAGGCGACGTTGACGAATCTGACGATCGCGATGTAATGCGGCGCGTCCGATCGGAGGCGACCAACTTGGAGTGAGAAGACCTCGAGGATGTCCTCTGATAGAAATTACTGGCTGCGTTCATCAGCGGAAAAAATAGCTCATTGAGCACTTAACGATTCTTTATCAAGATTTCTAACACTTAGACTCTCTCTTTCCCTCCAGCGAATAAGTATAAAGACAAGAGCTAATCGTATTAAAGAATCACAGCGCTCACCGAGCTGCTTCTTCCGCTGAACGTAGAGAGCTCTGCACTTAAATATATCTGAGGATGCTTTTGAAAAAAACAAAGCAGCGATGACTGACATCATTTCCGTTGAAAGAACGCTTTAGCGCACACTTTTTATATTTAAATATAAAAAGTCGAGCTAAAACGAACGGAACTCTCCGCTCTCATTGTTGATACCCTAGCGTAGTATATTGGCGCAATATTGGAAAATAATGTAAATCTATTCCTAATATTATTCAATATTGTAAGATGGTCCCCTGATGGAAAAATTTTGCTGAAAACATAATGAAATTTGCTGAAATTTGGTTGAAAATCTCTTGCAATTGACCCAATTTCATTATCATTTCAGCAACTTTTTATTAAAAAATTTATTTTCAGTGAAATTCTGCAAATTTCATAATATACATTTCAAAATTTTTTCACTAATTTTTCTTAATATTAATTAACTTTCATCTAATTTCACAGCATTTCATTGAATTTCATAACGAAACTTATGATTTATTTTGAAATGGTTTCAACAAGTTTCCAATAACTTTCATTTCACTTTTCATCAATTTCATTACATTTTTAGCAAAATTTTTCCATCAGGGTCGCCTCCTCTTATTTATAAGCCAATATGTCTATTTAGCAATATTGGTCTAATATTGTATCAATATTAGACCAATATTCTTATTACATTGTTAAATACTGGCCAATACACTTGCGATATAAATCTAATATTACATATTATTATCGCGCAACATTCACATTTACTGCATGACCAATATTGGCTTTACGTTGGACAATATCGGCCAATGCATTTTTAATATAACCAACATTGGGCCAATATTTAGTCAATGTTTAGTCAATGCACTGTGCTACTTGGGTAGTTCACTCGATTCTTCATTTGAATTTAAATACTATCGAGAGACAGTATTTAAATTTACTTATTATTATAATTATTGAACTTGCGCCGTTGTTATAGAAAAAGATTTGTCAAGGTTTTCCTTTTTTTTATGAAAGTCTTTCTTTTGTCGTAATTTTTTCTAATATTTTATATGTATAGAAGACTGAACATTTTATGTAGAAATGTGATTCCTGAGTTATCTGTCAAAACGATGTCGAATCGACGTCAATTTGACGGTATCGATGTTGATTCGACATCGATCGACGAATCATTTCTCACTAGGTATGTGAAGAATATGTTTATTAATTTAATTTTGATGTATTTCGCTCTGCGATTTGTTATTGCACTTCCGCGTCGTACGACGATGTTGTTCAATGTGTGTCCGAAAACAACGGGGACGATTCTTCCTTTCTTCCTATGAGTTCGCCAATGCGGTTTCACTTTCTCATTCCGTCTCGTCATTTCGCAGGATGCGCAGGCAGGCGAGATGCATCCGCGCCAACATATTTCGTTCATTTCAACTAGCGTGTTACCTTAAGAAATTCTCCAGGGATGCCGTGTAACGAAGTGGAACGACATTAAGAATTTCCCATAAATATACGGAAAACTTCTAATATCTGCGATTTCGAGTATTCGTCAACTTGAAGTAGCTTCTTCATTTTAAATAACTCGCTCTAGGTCCTTGCGTAAAATCGAATTAGCTTTACCCAGCGAGAGGTGACTCGTCGATCGATGTCGAAGCGATGTTGAATCGACATCGACACCGTCAAATTGATGTCGAATCGACATCGTTTCGACATCGATCGACAAATCATTTCTCACTGGGTAGAATATAACATTATTAGAAATCGCCGGTAGCGCGTTTATAGATTCTCTGCAAACGCGGTATCCTGCAACATCGAGTAACAACGCAAACCAGAACAGTGGATTATCGTCTTAGCGATTATATCATTATATCGACCGCGTTTCTCTCAGCTCGTACGAGTAGAGTGATTCGCTCTCGAAAGTTGTCGCCTCGTTTGAGTGTGTGAACGAGAGAGAGAGAGACTTGAATCGCGCCTCGGTTCCCTCGGTTTCTTTCCCCGAGCAACCTGATCGCTAATTACTTACAATATGCCCAACTATTCGCACAGCTCTCTACGCGACGAAATTCTTTCGCCGAGGAAGAAAGTCCTTCGAATTCAAATAATCCTGCGAAAGCTTTGTCTTCTGGCGAGGTGAGAGAAAGTCTCTCACCTTCTTCCTTTTTATTAATCGATTCGCTTCGCTAATTTTTTTTACGCTCTCGAGCGGATTGTAAGGATTTCTTTCGATCGATTTCCATTCGCTGGCCACTCGATTGAAAGGAAAATCTCGTTTGCCCGGTTGTTTTCATCGCGACGCCAGCTTTTTCGAAATTGGTCGCGCAACGATCGATTTGAGATCTCGGAGACTTTGCGCTTTGGAGGATTCAAAGATCTCATTGAGTTCTAGGTAATTCTCCGGGCCGACAATTAAAAGGCTCTCAGGCAGGTTTAACATCGGAGAATACAAAATTCGCAGAGCGCGCCGTTGCAAAAGTGTGAATTTTCAAGTAGTTAAGGACGAAAATTCCAAGACAAGTTTCCAGTTAACACGAACGAAGATATCGCAATGTCTATTCTTCAAGCGTGTCAATTCTTCAAGAGCGATTCTCCCTCCCTCGTATTTCAAATGGGACGTTTTGAAGATCGAGATCTTATCTCGTCGACGTCGACCTCGCCCGTTGAAAATTCGCGTCGGGGCTCCATTCTGTAAATTGTGATCTTAAACGCGCCTCGTGTTCCTCAACATCTGCTAGACCACATCACTCGCGTTTCCCCTCTCCCGCCGCTATTCAACGATCACTTTCTTCGAGATCGCTTCGTACCGAAGGATCCGCTCTTCGCGTCGCGCTAATCCTACTCGAGGATCGATTGGCGTCGCCGGGGCCAGTCAGGCTATGCGGATCCATAGATCATAGCGATCGGTGTGCTGATCCAGCGCGGACATTCTTCATTTCGCTGGTGATGTATCGTCTGCGCGGTGACTTCCTCGTCCTGCTGGTGATCGTTCTAGCGGAGGTCCAGTGTGTCATGATAAGAATCATCCGAGAGGATCATTTTAGTAAGTAATTCCTCGGCATTCTGTGATTTCCCTCGTAGTATCTCGCTGGAAATCTTCCTCTCTCTTCTTCTTCTTCAGTGTAGCAACCCGGTAAATAATTTTTCATGCATGAACACGGATAAATATACTGAATTATATAAAAATATACATCAAAAATATGTCCATAAGTATTTTTACATTGTATAATTCTATATACAATTCTACGCAGTTCTGTATAGTTTTATAGATTTATTGTACAAGCTTTTATATGAAAGTTTTTATGTGAAAAATTGCTTATTTGTAATTATATATATAATTGTGTGGAATTGTACAAAGTTATACATAATTATAAGTAAGCGATTTTTCACATTAAAAAATTTTTCGTATAAAAGCACGTACAAATCTATAAAATTATACAGAACTGCGTAGAATTGTAGAAGAAATATATAATGTACAAATATGTATGGACATATTTGATGTACAATTTTATATTATATTATACCATATATTTATTCATGCTCATGCATGAAACATTTTTTACCACAAAAGTCCCAGAAAAATAAAATGAAATTTTATTAGTTAAACGTATGTTAGTGTTTTCAAAAGTGTGACTTTCTTTAAGATTTAGGTTTTTCTCGGTGTAACAGTTGGCTTATTCGATCGAATTCGTATCTATTTTTGAGTAGTTAATTTTTTATTTTACGACGCGTGCATTTTTAACGTCTTTCATGTACTTGACATACATTTTATGAGATATTTCTTTCTTCTCTTCGGTGTTAGGATCAGCATCGTAATGTCTATAGGATACGTGATTTCTAATGTTTGAAATTTCTAATTTACTCTTAATTTCTGGCACTCGCGATTCATTTTGTATTTTTACCACTTTATGAATTCTAAATCTCTAGAACAGCTGGAACTTAGTTTCCTCGAATTGTCGGTACTCACAAATACGTCCTTTATATTTTGTTTGCAATTTTTATTTTTCAGAGTATCACGTACGAATTTTAGATCTGTGCATCTTTGGATAATTCGCATGCGCGATAAAATACCAAATACGCCTCGTAGTTGTTCTCAAGCGTCTCTGCGACATTTTCTAATCGTTCTGGATGTACTTACCACGATCCCGGATATTTAAAAGTTCTCAACGAGTTCACACTCTCGAGTTCTATCCCCTAAATCTCGCCGGCGCGGCGCCGCGTTTGGCTGCGTCTCGCGAGTCCAAAATCTGTGGGAAGTATTAAACAAATGTAAACGGCTTCCGATAACAGAGTGCGGATGTCCAGCAGCGTCGCAGCGGCAGCCGCGAGCGATCGTCTCGCCGGAGGTCCAGCTGGAGGACGGCGGCTCGTTGTCGACGACGACCACTACCACCGGCCGCATCTTCAACGGCAAGCCCAGCAGAAGGGGCGCGTGGCCCTGGCAGGTGTCCCTTCAGCTGTTGCACCCGAAGCTGGGCTTCATCGGTCACTGGTGCGGCGGGGTGCTGATCGACCCCAAATGGGTCATCACCGCCGCCCACTGCATCCACAAGTAAGTCTAACAATTCCGCCGAATGGTAGACTCTTCCGTCCCGCGCGAGAAGCGAAGCGACTTTCGAATTTTAATTCAATTCAATTTCAATCTTCCTGAGGCTTCAAACTCTCGCCTCAGCAGTGAGCTTTTCTTCATTTCTTTCTAACGCAGTTTTAAGTAATTAGAAATCGTTTATCGATTTAATGCGTGAATTTGCTGACGACAATGATTCCATCTAAGTGAAACTGTGTTGTGTCCGAGAAGAAACCGGCGCGCAGGACAAGGTGGAAAACGGTACACGAAGTCACGTTTTAGATTACAATTACTGGGCTGCCGACATCTTGCTCAGACCTAGAGGCGCTCTCGTTTGTTTAATTTCTTTCTCTTTCTCATCAAGCTTTCAATTAGTACTCCTACCTTCAAATTGTCAAATGAATACTCATCACTCATATATTTAAACCGTACTCTTAGCTTATGTCCCATTTCTTTTTCGAATATTTACCTTGTGCTTCGTATTCTCAAGTGGCTATTTACTTCAGCGAATTGTTCAATTTACCCATCGGTGCGCTGTGGACGGCGGTGGTCGGCGAATGGGAATTGGACTCGGGAGGACGCGGGTCCGCACGCTTGCCCGTCGAGAAAGTGATCCTTCACGAGAGATTCAATAATTACGTGCACGACATAGGTAAGTCCTTGAGTACCTCCGGAATGCGCGTGCAGGTCGGAAAGATAATTCGACAGTGCTCGGTTTCACCAACCTGTTTTCACCAACTCGGCCGCAGTCCTCTACTAAATCCGCGCGTTTTCGTCCCATTTCCTCCCCGAATTCATTCTAAAGTCGGAGAAATCTCGCGAGTCGCAGGTTCCTGGAGTTCCTGAAAGTGATCTCGCTGTTGCAGCCTTGATGAAACTCGCCAGGCCGGCACCTCTGTCCAAGGTCGTTCGCACCATCTGCCTGCCCGGCCCCGGGCAGGACCTCGGCGAAGGGCAATGCGTGACCTCCGGCTGGGGCCGATACGGCCCCTCGCCCTCGCTCTCGACCGCCCTTTTGGAGGCCAGTGTCCCGCTTCTAAATCTGGAGGAGTGCCTGCAGGCCTACGGCACCTCGGTGCCGATCAGAAAGGGCCACCTCTGCGCCGGTCAGATCGACGGTTCCTCCGGAAGCTGCGTGGTACATTGTCATCTTTCTGAAAATTTATTTCTTTAACGTTTCTCTCGATTGAACACTTGGCTGTGTGGAAAATGGTCAGTTTTCTCAAAAATTGTTGAAAGTCCTGGGTCTTTTTATTTAAAACAACGTACGACAGAACGTGGTTTTATCATTGAACGGTGAAACGAGAAACTTGATTCACACTGTGTAATTCATTGATACAAACGTGCGAGCGCGTTAATACATGCGCGTGCTGGCTATCGAGAGTAAAACAAATCGCTCGCGGACACGTTTTATTATCTGAAAGTGTCGATTTGTTGTTTAATTACGTCGCTCGTGCACTTTCCCATAATAAAATCGATCGCATGACCGGCGGCGCTCGAGATCGCGCAGATTCATGTGCGTAGAAGCGCGCATTTTTCTACGGAAAAATTCACGATATTTTAGAATAAAAAAATCTTCTATGGCGAGATGTCATTGATTTTATACTTGTCGCATACGTTTGATTTTTTTATGTACTTGAAGCTGATTTTTTGCCTTTCTAGAAGACACACTTAATATTAGAAGTATTAAATTAATTCTTGATGCGATCTTCGAAAATCGATAATAGTGAAAAAGAACTAATGAATGATGTTACAAACGAACGTTTGTGGGTAGTTCACATGGCAAAGAGCTCACTGGAAATATTAATTTTATTTTTGCAGCAACATAATTTCGTTACTAAAACTGTGGTTGTTAATAACAAACTAACTTTTATTGCGTCACCAGAATAATGACGCTGCAGCTATAATGATATTTATTGATAGCTTGGTAGGAATGAATTTAGAAAGTGAGCTCCGCTTTAACAGCAAATTCCTCTTTCAAACGAAAGATTGCGGAGTAGCTTAGTGAGATTGTTTTCATTTAATCAGCAAAAATTAGGCTCTATAAAGGCCGGTGTCAATTAATTATAATAAGCATGGAGAAGCAATAGGAGCCAAACGCTAGGTGTTGGGTGCGGATATAATATTAGATTTAATGTCGAATTGTTACTATATTGTTACGCGTTAGACGTCATTGAAAAGGATCATATCGGTTGATCGAAACGTGTTACTTGTTCAACTGTATTAAACATTAAGTCTAACATTATATCCTCACCCAACACCTAGCATTTGGCTCTTATTGCCTCTCTATGCTTATTAACTTAAACGTTCATCGGCAGAGCCCTAATAATATATTTACCAATTAATTATAACTTCAAAGCGATCGCATAATGCACCCAGCGAGAAATGGCTCGTCGATCGATGTCGAGACGATGTCGAGTCGACATCGCTTCGACGAATCATTTCTCACTGGGCAGCAACTCGTGTACCAGTATAACTGACTTTTGATTTGCTTCATTTTCAGGGTGATTCCGGAGGACCTCTGCAGTGTCGTCGCACTGACGGCGTTTGGCAGCTGGTCGGTGTCACGTCCTTCGGATCCGGTTGCGCCAGGCCGGGCTATCCGGATGTATACACCAAGATACAGCATTATCTACACTGGATCAACAAGACAATCGACGCGAACAACGACGACGAGCGGCGATGAAATTCTCCTCCTGTAAATACCAATGATGTAAATATGCTATTGTACAGTACGCTAGCGTATGCAGTTCCTTGTACTTGTATATATGTGTATGTGTGCAGTGTCTCACCTGCGTTGTATATTGTACGCTAATTCGTATTGCACGTAGAAATCGTTTATATTTATTTTATATCTTAGGAGTACGCGCGTGTGTACATTAAGTAGCGCTTTTTCTTATTATATTATCGCACGGTTAAAAATTGTTCTTACTTAACTTATGAAACATATATTATCTTATTATTTATTTATATTTATATAATAAAAGGAACGAGAGAAAGGGTTTTTGTACACAGTTAATTAAAGCGATTAATTAAAAGCAGCATGTGATATAAAAATTTATGTAATACAACTAATTTATGATATGCGATAATATAATAAGAAATATTAAATTTGCTCATGTACAAGATGTATCATAAAATGATCTCCGGTTTTACGTGGCATTTCATGTAGCAAATTACAGAGTTGTTGCATTGTATGTTTGCGTTGTTTGTTGTACGTTTAGAGTATACATTTGGAAAAAGTACGTACAAATAGAAATTCAATAAAGACAGGCAGTTAGTTAAAAAAAGTCCAAATTAAATAAAAGCCAAGATAACATTATTAAATAAATAAATAAATGTGTATATAGGTCATGTTGTGAATCCGATAGAGATAATAAACGGGCTATAGAAAGCTGAAAAACACTAGGGTATAACGACGTGCAAGAGTTTTTTATGCGGCCGCTTATAATAATCATTTTATTTACAGATTGTAATCATAAGTATTTGCAAATGATCCGAGCGGATTAGACGTCGGAATCAAAGTAAATAAGATGATAGGTCCCGAGGATCGTAAAGATTCTTTCCGGTACATTGGCCGCGGCCGGTTAAAACTTTCACGGTTACTCATTCAACCGGAAAAGATGAGACGATCTCGTTTCAAATCGCTTAAATTATGTCGGAGAAACATGAATTTCTATCTCGCTCGAAATAATCGCGACTTGTCGAATGCAGGGAAATTCCTGGAACTAAACGTTGCTGAAATCTCCCTTAAAAATTTCCCGTCCGCTATCTGGGATACATCCGTGATTCGTTTTACGGCTTTGCTCGTACCGAGAGAGCCACGAATAAATTATAACGTGGCTGCCTGTGCTCTGTCAGTTACGCTACAATGTTTTAATAACGTGATACATGATGCTATGCGACGCGTGGTAGACGCGATGGAGTTGGAGATATTGATTCACCAAGGACACACGCGAGAGCGGCGTATTCGATTACCGGGCCTAATTAGCCTCAATTATTAATTACAGGTGCGCGGCGCGTGCATCGCGTTCCGCTGCGTGGGCGTTGTTTGTACCCCAATAACTCATAGAGCTAATAATTCAAGCGACAAAGCACAGCGAAGACATTTCCAAAGATCTCAAGGACATTCCGCAAGGGCGTATCTCCTTATGATCTTTGATTAGCTAGTTCCGCTAATTGATCTGTACATAGCAATCAAACAAATGTTCGCCAAATTGAGTAAGGCGTTTAATTAACGTACACTTTAAATGACATACGTACTGTCTCGTAACATTTTTAATTGTAAGATGTATTTAACGCTTCATCGCGCACCCAGATAGCCAAATCTGTCGGAACAAATTTCGTTAAATGCCCACTGCAAATTTTCAAGGCAGAAAGATTGCATACAACTGGACCTGCTCGGTTTCTGCCGACAGTCCGTTGACAGCGTATATTTTACAGACTCTGTTGCCAAGACAAAAGCCAAGTGCGGACACAAGATGGCTATGGCCTTGGCGTGGGTTTCTGATGAGTCTGCCGTCAATCTGCTAACATTTTGCTGACATAGGTAATGTTTTTGTCATTCTTTTTTTACGTGCGAACTAATGGAGAGACTAGAATAAAAGTGGACTTATTTAACATAGAAAGGAACAAGTGACAAAAACAGACTTGTGCCTACGATAGATTACAATTTGGAATGCAATGTAGCATTTTGATAGATGCCCCACGCTTCACTCGACATAGTTACGTAACTGCAGAAGTGGCTTCTCAGGATCGAGGTCCCTATATAAATGTAGATATTCCCTGTATCCATTCTCTCGTGGCGAATAGCTTTTCTTTCCAAGTTTCAGGACGCATATCTCCCATACATACATTTCTGTTCGCTCTGATATAACGCAATGGCGGGGACGAGCCGCGTGTGCTGGAATAGAACCAAAAATAAGTCAGAAACGCTGCTCCCTGTTACGTCACACTCGTTTTTGCACACCTTTTTGGAAATTACATGAAATCCCGTCCTCTCTCTCTTTCATACAAGATTAGAGTCTTTCGATGCTCTATTAATTTTAATTAATCAATTAATATAAAATGTGCGTTGAAAGCACACGCGTAAAATGTGCTCGTGCGCTCGGTGTCTCCTTTGACATTCAAGGGTAGTTTCCAGTAAAAAATTTTTCGTGCATGAACATGAATAAATATATAGTACAATAAAATTATACATCAAAAATATATTTCTATATATTTTTATAATTTTATACACTTATATAAAATATTTTAAGAGGGAAAAATTGCTCATTTGTAATTTTGTATAATTATAAATAAGCAATTTCTCATATAAAAGCCTGTACAAATCTATAAAAATATGTATGGATCATCTTTATTCATATTCATGGATGAGACATTGTTCACCGGGTTCCATCTCTCTGCCGAATTTGTTGTAACTACTCGTAAAACGGCACCATTAGTTGATGAGAGAAATTAGTCTCATGGGGGAGAAAGGAGTGCCAAACGGCACTAATCAACTGTATAAAGGACACGTACAATTTTGTATCTCAAATGGAAGATATCCAGAAAATGTCGTAGATTCTAGACTTCGAGTTAGAAAGTTAGAACGTTTTAAATTTTTGAATAATCACTTCCTTGGAAAATCAATGTTTAAATTTTCGAGAGATAAATCTCGTCGCGTTGTTGAGTCTCGAAGGTTGGAAGTTTTTAAAATTTCGAACGCCGCGCTCTTGCGACCTCTTGATATTTTTTAAGCGCGATGACTCGATGTCCTACAAGGAGCGACGAGTAATTAATCGTTTCCAGTGAGAAATGACTCGTTGATCGATTCGATATCATTTCGACATCGATCGACGAGTCATTTCTCGCTGGGTCTCGCGTGACATTTTTCAATACTGTTCGACTCCGAAATCTGGCGATCGAAAATACATTCGCTGACTCGCGGATTCGAGGGCCACGTTTGTGCGAAGAAAAAAAAAATGAAAACATTCGTCGCGCGAGTATATATTATTTATCGCCGTGCGATTGAATCATCGACATGCGCGCGCAGCTCGCGCGCGGTTTCCCTCCATTTCTCCTTCCCAGCCGCGGCCACATCGTATTTAGATCGAACTTCACGTGCGATCGTGCAGTGTACTTTCATCGCACGGAAGAAAGTGAGAGAGAAACCTGGTCGATGAGAGAAAAGAAGGGAAATGGGATAGCGCGTGTTGATTTCGGCTGAAGTCAGGGGAGATGGCGCTACTCGAGTCGTCTCTGACTCAAAACATCTCGCGCACGTGACTTTCCCCCCCCCCCATTCTTCGTCGAAATTGCAAAAAGAAAACGCCCATGTAATGTCAATATTTCTTCGCGCGAGCAGCGTGCAGGAAAGTGCGCTCGCGTTGTTACAAGCGCGAGTCTCTGCGTATTTATAAAATAAATGCAAAGTTCCAACTTCAGCTTCATAGACTTTGTACAACAAATTAAAATCAATTTATAAAATCTAAAAGAATTTTGAAATACGTGTATACGAAAGTTACTTCAAAAAAGTATCTAATTACAGTTACAAGTTACCAATTCTGTAAAGCAACGCGTTACAGTTACAGTTACTTAAAAAGTAACGAATCGTTACTTTCTTGTAATGAAAATAAAAAGATCAAATCTGCGTTTGAATTTTGTAAAGCGTCGACAAAGGCGGTTTATGCGTAAATGCAAGGCCTGATGCAATCTGTGAAAGTTCACAGTATATGTATATAAAGTAACTATTAATGTAACTATTAAATTAGTTACTAGTTATTGAAAAAATGTAACCGAGTTAAGTTACAGTTACAGATGGAGAGAAAGTAACGAAGTTAAGTTAGAGTTGCCAAAAAAAAAGTAACTGTAACTTCGTTACTTTCCAACCCTGGTATTTATATAAAGTAAAAATCAATAATATCAAAAATTTAAGCGGATTACAAATACACATAGTATAAATGTACATATTTAGAGGAAAGTCCTCCATTATGAGATAGATTTATAATATGAGATAGCAGATTTTCAACATCCAAATTCAATCACAAATCTTAGGCTTGTTTTCTGTTCCTGCAACCAGTGAACTAGTGCAGTAAGCTGGAATGAGAAAAAATAGACTTGTCTTGCTCTAATTTATTGCACTGGTTCACCAGTGCAGGAACAGCAAACAAACTTCTTGTTTCGCAACGATTACGCAACCCAGTAGGAATGAATGATCAAAAAGATATCGATTTGATGTCGATCCGATAAGATTTCATCGACGCGGTAAATCGATGTTTTTCATATCTCGATGACTTTTGGCCATTCACAATGAACCTTCCACTAAACAGATTTTGCTCCAAGGGCAATAAATTCATGGTGAAATCAACCGATGATGCCCAGATTCAAACCATGGCTGGAGCGATACTTTACGCAACAAATTGCTGGCTGTGATTTAAAAGAGAACCCATGCAGCACAGAAAGTTAAACTAATGTTGCTGGAACGCTGCAATGTTGAACGTTGAAGTATAAAATATCTTTTCTACGTTGAATCTGGGTTAACGTTTGTACATTGATTCCTTATATTGCCGCAACGTTAAAACAATCTTGAACAAATTATTTCTTTTGACACTCAAATAGATACTTAATATACATGTATAATATTTTTGCAACGGTCAGAAATTTTCTGAGCTAAGGTTGGATTATTGTTTCAGTGGAGCGATATTCAATTTCAGCGCTTCCAACAGTTGCAAAAAAAGTATTCTGCTAAACGCGACCAGTGTTAACTCAATATAATTTAACAATGTTTTTGGAATGTTGAATTGTAACGTTTACAAGACATTGCAATTCAGCGGGCATCAGGCGTTTTGCATCCTTTCAACGTTGAATCTACACTTTGTAACATTGATTGCGATGTTGCGATGGAACGTTTCTGAGATGTTGATTCGGTATTTGTGTGCTGTACATTATTAGCATCGAAAGTTAAATCAATTATCGATCTATAAATCTACTGTTCCAGCGGAAATCAGCGCGCAGTCGGAAAATGGTGTACAAACTTGACGCAAAAATATTATTGGGCTCTCGAAATCTAGCCGGGCCTCGGATCGGCGCGTGCCTCAAAAATGTCCATCAAGAGAAATGTTCAATTCAAGTCTCCAGCTCTCTGTCCTCTTGGAGCGACCGCAACCCCGATACATCTGCTCGCGTCTAAAAGGCCGTGACGTTGAAGCGCGTGGCAGAGGGAGAGAGAGAGAGAGAGAGAGAGAGAAGAAGAAGGGAAAAAAGGAGCAAAATTTGCTCGAGGGAAAAACGAAGGAGAAATACCGAGAACAGATATCTCACGCGGGCCGCGGCGAGGAGAGACAGCAGAGATTCTCCCTCGCCCAGGCGCTCGCGCGGCCTTCGACTCCGAAGCCCGACATGCGCACGAGCACCTCTAGTCGACGCGACCGCGCCGAGGGAGGCGAAACGTGACGCGACGCGAGGCGAGGCAAGGCGAGGCGAGGCGAGGCGAGGCGAGGCGAGGCAGGCTCGGGGGCTTTTAAAATGGCCACTCGTGGTGTCGCGCGTGCAACGCGAGGCAACGCTACTCCGCCACGTCGTCCCCGATCCGGTGCGTGAGCCCCGCGAGCGTAGAGGCGTCCCTCGTCGGCGACGCTCGCGATCGTCGTGCTCGCCCAGCCCGGACGATCGGTGTCGTCCAAATCGTCTCCCCACCGGGAGGATCGCGCGTGAAACGGAGTAAACGCGAAGCGGAGCGAAGCGAGCGAGAGAGAGAGAGAGAGGGAGACCCTCGGCGTCGCTCCTCCTCGACGCGCCGATATCGCGCCCTCCCCCCTGTCTGCTGCACCCTCTGCGGATCGACCCTGAGCGGCGTGCCGTCGCGTCTCGCGCCGAGAGGGAACCTGCTGCCTGCGGTGACGGTGGAGCCATCGGCGACGCTTTCGTGGCTTTCGTGGCGCCTCAGTGACCTCTCGGTAATGCCACGGCACTTCTTCGTATACGCTACCTCCTTTTCCTCCTCCTCCTCCTCCTCCTCACACACTCTCTCTCTTTCTCTCTCTCCCCTTCCTCGCGCGAGTCGCGCAAAACTGTCGCGCGTACCTCGCGAGACCCCGCGACTAGCGGTGAGCGTCGCCGAGACGTCGGCGACGCTCACCGCGACGCTCTCGCCTCTTCGTAATGTCGCCCGCGGGGATGGGGAGCGAGAATGACGCGTGTACTCTCGACGGGCTCTCCCAGTGCGACGACGCTCCGGGCGTCGGGTAAACGTTAGAGAAATCCGGAGTCGGGGACCCGAGTCCCTCGGTTGTTGCTTCCCCGGTCGTTTTTCTTTTTTTAATGTTTCTTTCCAACTCCTCGCGGAGGCGATACGCCGTCGATACGCGTAGACAGGCGAGCTCCCATCGATCGCGGTTTACGCTAACCCATCTGAAATTCATGGAATGCGTATAGTATATACGGTGTACAGTATGTTACAGCAGAGGCATGAAATTAGCAAGCGCGTCGTGCGCGCAATTGCCTTTCAACGCGGGACCATCGGTGCCCAAGGAGAAGAAAAAGTCAGGATGATGTCAATTTGATGTCAATATGGCATGAAATTGACCAAACTTTGACATAAATTTGGTCAATATAACATCATCCTGACTTTTTCTTCTCCCTGGGTGCCTTTTCCAACCCAAGGGGAACAAAAAGTCAAGATTGTGTCAATTTGATGTTATATTGACCAAATTTTGTGTAAAATTTTGGCCAATGTGGCATCAAATTGGCCAAAGTTCGACACAAATTTCGTCAAAGTGACATCAAATGGACATCATCCTGACTTTTTCTTCTCCCTGGGTACCTTTTCCAACCCAAGGGAAACAAAAAGTCAAGATGGTGTCAATTTGATGTTATATTGACCAAATTTGTGGTAAATTTTGGCCAAAATTCGACACAAATTTCGTCAATGTGACATCAAATTGACATCATCCTGACTTTTTCTTCTCCCTGGGTACCTTTTCCAG